TGAACAAAAGTCAAATTAATTGAATGTTAATGTTAATATTATGTTAAACCTACACACATATATATGGTGTTGACACAACACAATCAAGATGGATTAATATAACATGATTTGTTTAGATGGAATATAAGTGCCAAGATAAAATTACGTTCATCCAATGAATTGTTTTTTTGAGTGTGCAGCCTCATACTGAAGCTGAGGATCGGCTCATGGTTTCATTGCTTCATTTTAAATCCAAAGTCCTGGAGCACAGAGCCAGTTTGAATATGAACGCAGGACTGTGTTCATACTCAGACACTTTCATAAGTGCAAACAGGCTCCATCACAGTAAACCTCCAACAGCTCGCGCCTGCAATAAAACCAGTCCAACAGATCTTCCTCGTTTACATTTCCCTTCTGAACGCTAGGATAGAAATTTCCCGTGAGAAACAGCCAATCATCGTGTCAGACTGAAAGCTCTTAAGCTGTGCAGTTAACTGGGTGTTGGTGGTAGCAATTCCTCATTTAACGTTCTTTATTTTACAACAACAATTTCATTTCATCTCTTTTTTAATGCTACAGTCAGAAGGAAGTATATCGCTAAAAGAACGCCTCAAATGGTGATGGTTAAAAACATTTATATTTTGGGAAATGTAAGAGATTTATTAGACCACAAAACAATGCGCATTTTTCTATTTCTCATTGTTTTTTTCATACTTTAGTTACTGTGTCGAAGTTTGGGGGAATACATATGAGAATACTATAAAACCTACAAACTTATTACAGAAGAAAGTGATACGAATGATTCATAACGTTAAATATAGAGAACATACAAATCAATTATTTATAAAATCAAAATTATTAAAATTAGGAGATTTAGTGAAACTACGGACACTATTAATTATGTTTAAGGCTAAAAGTAATATTTTGCCTTCTAAGTTACAAAGAGTATTTTGGGGGGAGAAGACAGCAGAAGGAAATTTTATTTTAAGCATCAGCTAGCTAGGACTACACAAAGATTAATGAGTCCAACGGTTAGGGGTATACAACTGTGGAACTCTCTTCATTATAATTTAAAGAGTTGTATAAATTTACATTGTTTTAAAAAGTGTTACATGTCTAAAACGATAACTCAATATGAAGAATGTGAATGAAGTTGGAGTTAATTGAATAAGGATCCATTGTTTTTTGTTTCATTTATTTTATTTACTTATCTTTTCTCCTTGTTGCTATGTGGAGTGGTATATTCTGATTGTAAATTTGTTGTTTGGTTTGAGTTAGGACTGGAAATAAGTGTTAATGTTAGTTTGTTCCTTGACTTTTGGTGCCCACTTGCGATATAAGTTGGATTGTAGATAGGGGGCAGGGTTTAATAAGAATATATTCTTCTGCCTGCTCCTTTTCACACATGGTTGCAGTGCTTTACTGACAGAAAGTGTAGTTGGTTTGTTTGAAAGAACTAACTGTGGAAACTGTTGACCAAGTGTGAAATAAATAAATAAATGAAATGAAATAAATGAAATGAAATAGTTATATGTAATTACATATAACAGCTTGACTGCCCAGAAGTCTTTTTTATGACTTACTAAGTGACACATTATTCTCCGAATAAAATGCAAAACTGCGAGAAAAAAAAAAAATTAACACGACATTCCAGGAATACAGAGCTACGATACAATGACACAGCATAATAACTTTAATGGATACTTCCATGACTCACCTTACTTTCAAGTGTTTTATGTCCAACTCTGAAATGAACATAAGGGCTGGGGTCGCTGGTATTCTTCTTAGCAGACTAATAGAGAATCAGACAGAAGAGTGTTAGCGGCATGTACCCCACTGTGGCACAAAAATCAACCGAGGGACAACATAATTGCACTCAAACATTCAAACAGCAGCTCAAGTGGAGACTCAACCAAGCACACAACGGTGAGAGAGCCTGTAATTCAAAACAGGAAGGAGCATTACCGTACATTCTGACAAGCAGGGCTGCAGGCAGAGCGGCAACCAAGGAGACAGCCGAGCTTTGTCTCCTCTGCGGGCTAAATTTAGCATGCTGGGCTTTGACAGCTACGTATTATTCAGTATTCCTCTCAGAATAATAATACCCTACATATCTACAGGCCAACGTCTGTGACAACAGAGGAAAAGCCTTAATTTTCTCATCATCTAATCCTTTCTCTTGAGGATGCCGCTTGAGTTTGACAAATGTTTCTCACCAGCATTACAATTAAGCCTCCCATTGAACATGCAGGCTGATAATAAAGACACTTTAACGCACCACGTATTGAACAGAAATACACAGAAATACTTTCACAAGCTTTTACATAATTCATACAATATCTGTTTTTAACTTGTTTAAACTACATGTCCAAAAGAATTGGGACACGCCTCCTAATCTTTGTATTCAGGTGTTTTTAGTCCCCAGAGCCACAGGTGATTAAAATCAAGCATGCAGTCTATCTTTACAAGCGTTTGTGAAAGAACGAGTCGTTCTACAGAGCTCGCTTAGTTCAAGGGTGGTGCTGTAACAACATGCCACCACTGCAACAAATCAGTTCATGACATTTATTTTTCCTTCCTCAGATCAGCTCTGTAGGGGTATTGTGCAAAGTGGAAGTTTTTAGGAATCACAGCAAGTCAGCCAGTCATGAAATGAGCATGTAAAGTTAGAGAGCAGGTTCTCTGACTGCTGAGGAGGATCGTTGCAAATGCTCTGCTGGCTCTATAAGAGTCCAAATCCTCCTCTGGCATTAATATCAGCATATAAACTGTATGCCGGGAGCTTCATTTCATGGGTTTCTATGATCAAGCAGCTCCTCTAGGTGTAAAGTGTAGGCACCCTAGTACTTTTATCTGTATAGTAGAGATTCTGTGTTCTATGTATAAAGGGAACTGTGAACAAAATTAATTCTTTCTGTGAAGGTAGAAACTCTGCTGTTCCTCTATATCCATTTTCTTTTGTTTTTCCTTCATCACGCATGAGTTTAAATGTGTGATTAGAGGAACTCTCTTCTCCTCTGCTGGATTACAGTTTGCATCTTTTCAGTTGTAACTGACTGATTCTGTTTCCTTTTTTGACGTTATCGGAGGAGGAAACGGTTTCCTGCGACTGATGCGGTGTCAGACAGTGGAAGATGCAGCAATGTCTGACATGCATTGTTTGATTTTGTATGAAGTATTTTTTTTTTGCTGTTTATTATTGCTCTGTTATTAATAAATGAGAATCAGAATTTTGTGTGTATCATTTTCAGACTGTGACACGATGCTCATAGTGATTCTATTATGCACAGAAACAGTAAGAGATTTTACATTCTGTCTATTATAAAAACTTTTACAGCCTACAATGATACATATTAACCTATAACCAAGTCATATATATGTTTCTACATTTTTTTTTTCAAATTAAATAATAACTAAGAATAAAATAAAATCTTTTTTTAAAGTAATATGAAACATATGAGCCAATCAGCACGGGGTTTGTGCATTAGGGAGTCCCATTACACTCATGCTATACTTCATGCACACATGAGGACATAAAGGTTTTCATCTCATAGATTTTATAATCACAGTGTGCAGATAAAACTATACCCACTATTTTTTTAGGACCCGTCCGCACAGACTCTACACGGCAAGGGCACCAACTGTGCATATGTTCTCTGAGCAGTCAAGAAAGTAGTATAATAAAAACAGCTAAGTATCCCTGGTGTCCTCAGCTGTCCACAATCACAAGGGAGCATAACCCGGGGCCTCAGACTCTCACTGAAGTGCAAATGTAAATAAGTCAGGTATGAAATGTGTCCTAGAACAGTTGCCCCTTTTCTTGTTTGTCTTAAACACACATGTGAAAATAGTGCAGACATTTTTGGCACTTGCTGCTCTTTCCTCCTGTTTTCTGCATGTGCCCATTAAGATTTAACACATGACCTACTACACAGAGGCAGCATGGTGTATTAGCTCTATTTTTTCAGCAACCTTGCTGTCAATCTTGCTGTCCGGACTGGCTGGTGAAGCTATGTGTGTTTGGCAGTTTTCAAAGAAAAAAATCCCACAGCTTCCAATGCTTTAAGCTCTAAGCCGCTATATGGGTAACACACCCACAAAAACTATTTCACTTGAATAGATTTTTATCTCAGCATGGACAGGCTGAAGGAAACAACACGTAAAATGGTGTCAGACTCACAGTGGTTTGAAATTCATTAATAAGAAAATAAGATGCAGCAGCTCAGTCTACCATCCAGCTGGCAGCCGGTCCTGCTGTCACGGTGACACAGACTGAACGACTGAGTGCAACAACAAAACATTTGTACTCCTGCTGCCCTCCAGCACAATGCTTCAGTGAGTTTCACTGGCTCATATCAAACAAAGGGAGTGTCACAGTCAGTGCGATACAATAGGAGGCTTTAAACTTCCTAGAATCAAGGTAAATAAAAGGAAACGACTCGTGCTAACTAGAATTATGCAACACTGATTTTTGGAATAGTGCAACCTGAAACTTATCTTTTGTAACACACTAGATCATCTGTTCTGATCACTGGTAAACAATATAATGAAAGCCGGTTTCTACTTCTACCAGTCTCCTCACGGCTGCATTCACATAACATTTACTTAGACTAATCTGTGTCACTACCTAGTGTCTACTTTATCTGTGTATTTGTCTGGCAAATATGAGCTCCAGAAGAAGAAATGTGGAAATGCTGGACCAACGAGCATCAAGTCCTTATCCTGAATTCCTGAGCTTTAACATGATCAGGTTCTTCAACACAAAGGCACAAAAGGTGTTCTCAGAACTGTATTGTTCTATAGATATGCCATTGTTAACTGCCTTTTTAAACCAAATGAAAAACACAAATAATATCAAGTGAACCATCATTTCACTTTAGAAAAACCTGAAACCAATATTGTACTTCTGCATGCAAAAGTAGGGAAAATATGACAACAGTTCAGGACGGCACAACAAAGGCTCAGACAGTCAGTGCGATCATCCATCTTCATGCACATTTTTTCAAAACCCACAGTTCACTTTGCACGTTCACTTTGCACGTCTGATAGCCATCACGATCACATGACTCTGGATGGTGCACTTGAGGACCGGCACAGGTGAGACACAGGGTGTACGTTCTGTACATGCAGTCCATTTTTCCCACATTACCTTCAGGGCCTTAAAGACTGAGACTTGCTTCAACCCGTCATAGGTGAAATCTGACAGGTTGCTCTTTAAGCCACAAGGAGATTTGGGGGAGAAAATCACACCCACAGTTAGTAGGACGGGAATGACTCGGCATGGTTAAGAGACATGAGGGGGGGAAAAAGCCCACAAAAAATGTGTTGAAATTTGTGCTGAAATATGAATAGCATGGATAACTGTTAGATAAATCAGACGCAGCAGATATTGGGCTGATATTGGAGCAGGGCATAAAGCTAACAATGAAAACATATGTCAAAATAATGAGGATGTTCCCTATAGGGGAGACTTAAAGGTGCTGGATCTTTTTTAACAAGCTACAGACTTTCTGTATCTGTACAGCTATACACTAATGTGAAGCATCATTATGAGCTCTGCCAGCGAGCTCTTTCTACTCCTGACATTTTATACTTGGGCCTTGAACTGAGCAACTGATTAAGAAGAATATGCTGCAGGCTAACTAGCAGGCACAGTATAGCTGAGTCCTTCAAGTGAAGTGTCTGCCTCATGTTACTGGTTATTTTTCAGTAAACGTTCCTTCACAACCATGCAGCTAACGCATGCTTTAAGATTCATGTTTGCACGGGCTCCTGTTATTGTTCAACCCAACCCAACATTGCATACCGCTAATGCTAGCACTATAAAGATGGAAAAGTACCGGGGAACTCACACATATTGTTTTATACTCTGAAGTATTGCTCTCACAAAAGACTAGGCCAGAAGCTCTCCTCTCACTTAAGTTTCCACAGCCTAAGCTGCCTGAGAAGACGCTCTTGGGTGAAGAGGAAAGAAAATTAAGAGGAAACGGGGAAGTTATGAGAACTGAAAGAGGTAAAGTATTTATATAATAAAGGTAAAAAAAACAAACAAACAAACTAATATCAGACAAGAGGTCAATTTGACCAAACTGGGTATTATAAACATTTTCTAATCTCGTTACATAAACATCAAAAATGCATTTAGTCAGCAATTTGAAGGTTCAAGTTTATCCTCTAACAAAAGCAAAAAAAATATTGCCCAATATAGCCCTAACACAGAATCCTTGAGCTTTACCGACACTTTATTAGGTATACCTTGTGAGTACCAAGTTAGACCTCATTTTGGCTTCAGGAAAGCGTTAATTGAGGGAAACAGTCCTCTGATTTTTGGTAAAAAAACCCCAAAAACCTGACATGATATTATCACACAGTCACTGAAGACTGGCTGACTGAACACCTATCATGGAAATCTTCTGTTCCACTACACAAAAAAGGTGCTCTATTGAACTGATATCTGGTGACTGTGGAGACCATTTGAGTATAGTTAACTCATTGTCATTTTCAAGGAACCAGTTTGAGATGATCTGAGCTTTGCGACATGGTGTGTTATCATCTAGGAAGCAGCCATCTGAAGATGGGTACGCTATGGTCTTAAAGAGATGGACATAGTCAGCAACAATACTCAGGTAGGCTGTGGAGTTTAAATGATGCTCACTTGGTACTAAGGAACCCAAAGTGTGTCAAGAAAACCTTGGTTTCCTTTTTTTTAGGTCACAGGAGTGGCACTCAGTGCATTCAGAGATGCTGTTCTGAACACCTTGGTTGTAACAAGTGGTTATTTGAGTTATTATTACCTTCCGACCAGTTTTAAGCAGTCTGGTCATTCTCATCTGACCTTTGGCATCAACTAGGGATTTTCACCCAGAGAACTGCAGCTCACTGGATATTTTCTCTTTTACAGACCATTCTCTGCAAACCCAGGAGACGGCTGTGTGGGAAAATCCCAGTAAATCAGCACATTCTGAAATACTCAGACAACCCTGCCTAGCATCTTTCTTCCCCATTCTGATGCTCAGTTTGAATTTGACAAGGTCAACTTGACCATGTGCACTTGCCTATATACACTGACCTGCTGCCATGTGATTGGCTGATATAAATGAGTTAAACAAGTGTACCCAATAAAGTGTCTGGTAAGTATATAATGTCCTGAAAAAAATACGAACTTTTTGTAGTAGATGCAGTAATGCAATCACTTCAGTCACAAATAATAAAAAAAACTACAGTAAAAGAATGTGAATCTTTACTACACAGACCACTAATCTTTACTCAAAAAGGGCTACACTGGCTTTTTTACTAAAGCAGTTCACTCTCGTGTGTATGTTTTGGGTAGAGAACAAGAAGCCTGTGTAAGCCTAAAGCTATATTTTTGCACAAGCTACAGCATCAAACTAAAGTGAGCATTGCATCATCTTACTGGCAGGTTCTTTGCCGAGTCCAGATAGACCACCAGCAGCGCTGATGACAGTCCGTCGTTGGCGAGGCTTCTGTCTGCGCGCACGCTTTGCAGAACCTAAACAAGAAGGACAAGTTAGACATGTTTTACAGCTGCAAATACAGACAACACGTCCTTGTGTTAAAGCGATGAAGCCTTATTGTTACATGCAGTACCTGGTCCAATTTTTCAGAAGTGGAGAGCAGCGATAGCCACTCCAGTTTCATGTGGAGTTTCCCAGTAGTTGCTTCTTCAAGATCAAACCACTGCAACAATGTGGCCAAACAAGTATGTCAATATTTCCATTCATTCGATGACAGGAACAAACCAAGCTTAAAAATCATTTGTATGGCTTTTAGGAGCTGTGCTAAAACAGAACAATTTGGTGGTTTAGTTTACTGCGAAGATTTAGATGATCAGATCAGTGCCTATCTCAAATCTGCATGGACTCTCAAACCCCTTAAATCCAAAGGTAACAAACTCATAATTACCTAATCATTTCTATCATTACTATATATCAGTCAACATATCCAGTGTTATTATAGTTAGCTAAAAATAAACTAAAAAGTAAAACTAGAAGTGAAAATAAAACATTTAAGTACTACAATAAAAATAGAAACTAGACTCTTGGTAAAAAATAACTGAAACACTTTTGTGAACTTTGAAAAGCAACTAATGGAAGTTAAAAAAAATAGTGGAAGTTTTAATATTTGTTACTTTAGTAAAACTTTATCAGAAATTGCCTGATTAGGCTTTGATAGACGTTTTTACTCAGACTCCAGATATCTACAAGACTGTGAGTCAACTGCTTTCAAAAGGTTCTGCCTCTGACATATGGCTACCATACCATAGTGATTAAAAAACTAAAAGCTAACACTCAACTTAATAAAAGCTGAAGTAAAACTAAGCATTTTGAAACAATGGGAAATACAAAATAAACTCAAACAAGCAAAGTTGCTGTGCTCACCAACTGAAACTAAGCAGGCGTACTCTCCAATAATCCCAGTTTTTAAAGGGATTATGTGTCACCAAAGTAACTTCCTTTAAGGCTGGCAGGGGTGAGTTGACATATAAAGTGTTAACGAGTGAACTTTAGAGCTGCTGGTGGGTGTCATTCATGGCTAAAGTCTGGTTAGCTGTTTACCTGTCACATCTTACTCCTTACAAGGAAGCAATATGACTGAGGCAGACGGTTACTCTAAGATGTATAATGTATACGCTTTAAAGTAATTAAACTGATAATATTATTGCGAACAAAGCAGCTTACCATATCAACTTTCTGTTCTTTGTGCAGCTCTGTCATATCAATCATGAGGCTGTAAATAAGGACAAATAATTATGGAAATTGGGACAGCAAACAGTAAACAGTAAAATCGCACCAATTAATCTAAACACAGGGGGTCCAGATATCGATAGACTGCTTTGTGTTAATAGCACTGGGTGTAGCATTACAGCCTTGGGGTAAAAATCGATGAAATTTGCCCTTAGGCCGGTAACTGGAGATAACACTTATACACTTCCATTGTGATGTCCACTAGCAAACATAGCTTTATTTATCTTAATTTTGTTGACTATATGTCCCGCAATACATCAAAGATTGCTCTTACCAGTTATCAGCGCTGGTACACCAGAGCTTTGTTTTAAATGAAATAAGTGCAATAACATCTCAGCGGGTTAGGAAATGACAAAGAGACTCACCTCCCCAGGAAGTCATCTTGGTCTGGATCCTCATCAAATAGCTCAATCTCAAGATGCTGACCTGAGTGCTCATACACCAGTGCCTGATGAACACAAGAACAAACTGAAGCTCATTCAAACTGGCACAGGAGGTCAATAAATAGATTACCTGTCATGCAAACCAGCAGGAGGTATAATTAAGACAAGTGGAAAACAATGGCACATAACAATAGGAAACATAGGAAAGGGTATCTTACATCTTACATAACAATGGGAAACAGACTAGCTTTTTCGGTGGCAACAAACGACCGTAAAAGCTCTTCCTGCTCTAAAAGACATCTCCAACTCTCACCTCGTACACTTCGTTCCACTTGGGATTAAGGCTTTCCTTAATTGTCTTGCTCTGAAACAGCTGGTTGCCGATCTGCAGGATACCATAGGGGTCAGACTTGCCTTTGATCAACCCTCCCAGAAATGTATCCTTCCCTTCTAGATCTTGAGCCTCCAGGAAGTGAATCCTTAGGACTCCCTGTGGAGCCATGCAGACACATGTGTTAAGGTCTGAAAAAGCTTACAGTGTTGATAAGACGTGAAGATTTCTGTAATGGGAGGACATTAGTAGTATAAGAGGAAACATGACTTATTACCATAATAAAGTAATAACAAAAATACGAATTCATTTCACAATTCATAATTTAGCAAACTTTATTTAAATGTGTGGTTTGTAAAAAACGCACCACAATAAAACATAACAGCTACTTTAATATTTAAGAAAAAGAAATGCAAATTTATGTAAATTTCATAAGCTAACCTTTACTTACATACACATACATATACCTAGAATGTATTAGCACATGTGTGCATATATGTATGTGCATATATATATATATATATATATATATATATCCCATGATTACCTGGATAAATAGAGGACTAATCTAGACTTTCTACAGCAGAATAGGGCTTTTATTTTGTTTAATTTTTCCATTGTCAAATGTTTTTCCTTTCTTTAATATTTAATAAAAAACCTTTGCCTGAAAGAAAGCAGTAAGAATTGCCACTGATATATAAAATCAGACCTGCATTTATTTTCTTATTTTCTTACATAAGTATTGTGCGGCACATTATCTACTTTTAATTTTCCTACTGAGTTTTTAATGGATTAACATATTAAATGTCTTTATTTTAAAATACAAGGCCATACTAACCTAAAAGTGATGGTGGATATAACAAGGCTACATTGTTATCATGGAAATCATTTCACCACATATGCTTCCTTGCCAGATGAAAGGTTAAGTCTCTCTATACCAGAGTGCAAGGTCTTGTCTAGTAAATAAAGACCATTAAAGCCAAGGAGGTAGAAGGACCTGTTGTTCAAGACTGGCTCCTTGGAAGTAAAATATAAAGAAATGAGGGGTGACTCAGAGTTTATCACAGTGCTGTATATGTGACACACAGTACTGTATGTTGGCAAAACATCCTGCCGTCTGATATCAGAAAGACAAGTTCTTTGTTATCTTTTCAATGTCTCCTTTTTTTCAAAGGCTGTAATGAATATATGATGTGTGGTAAGATTTTAGTTGTTTCTTTTTTATTCCTGTTTTGAACGCTTGAAACCTTTTTAAATATAATAAGGATGTGGCCTGCAGTGAAACTTTTTTTCATTTTGTTGCCATTAATACAAGTTCCAGGAACAACCTTTGCTGCATTTTTATTGTTATGGTTCTTTAATTTTATTCTGCGTTAGCACTGAGAATTAACGACAAAACCCTGGGAGATGATACTTTTTACTACTGACGAGCTTTAACGTACTAACCATGAGCTCCTCGTGTGAAACTGTCTGCTTATGAACTATTAAAACACTTAGAAGAGCAGCTCATCCTTACTGGATGTATTGTAACAAGTGCATTTGTACCTTTGGCATTGGAAAGCGCAGCTTGGCCAGCTCCACCGTTCCGACCAGTGGGATAGTGATTCTGTTGGGTAATACCAAATAACTGTAGATAATGTCTTGAATCAGACTGTCAGAGAAGCCACTGTAAATACAAGGGGGGAGGTGGGGATGATGAGAGAGGGGAGAAAAAAAAGAAAATAAACAGAATGAAGCGATAAATTATTTAAAAGACAATAAGGGTGCCCTTGGGTTATAAATGTTCTCTTTTAATCTAAGCTTGGTTAACATGCGCGACGACAGCAGGAAAATTGGAGTGAGTTCAAGCATGGTGCTGCTGTTAGCCAACAAACGTCTGAATGTCTGTCTGATCCACTAATGCTTCAATGGTGAATGACAACAATGACAGTGAGGTTACAGGATGACATTTCCATCAGACGTTTCCTTTATTCATTTACTTACTGTGGCACAGCTGGAAAATTGCAATCATGGCTAGAAAAAAAAATCAAATTACAATAAAACTTATCGTGCTGGGTTATTGCTCAGCATGTCCCTCGAAGAATGGTTATTATTATTATGGGCCAGATGTCCATATATATTATAATGTGACCATTGTAATCAGGGGCATTTGTAAATTGTCTAAGACATCACCTGGAAGTGGATGTTTTCTGAGGACACCTACAAACACAATCTTTAAAATAGTCTGCAAAGAAAGAAAAGTACAAAAATGTAAGCTGATGAAAAGTGGGTGAATTTTTTTTTAAACTAGACATTTGCTAACACACACCTGATGTACTTGTGCTCTGTGCTTTCTAGGTGCCCACCAGTGAATAGGTACAGCAGCTGAGTAACAGCCTCTATGTAATTGGTCTTATAAATTTAGAAAACTTGCGTCATTGGTGTCTTACTGAATTAGGTCCAAGATATTTTCAGGTCTTCAATGAAATGTTATTGTGTGATAGAATTTCAGTTTTAACAGTAAAACTCTACTTGCTACAGTGATCACTGCATGGAGAAACTACAGTAAACTCCATATTTAGTCAAAGTTTAACCTTTTGTTTTGTCATATAGAAATAACAACACAGACATGTGTAATCTTTAACAATTAACAGTGTGTGTAATTTCAGAAGAACAGAAACATAAAGTCCAAAAACTGCAGTGACAAGCTATCAAATTATAGCTAGCTTGCCACAGCATTAGCCGCTTCCTGTTTATTGTAACTTAATTAGGGTTGCCAACCGTCCCTTAAAAAACGGAATCGTCCCGTATTTAGAAACAAAAGTACACGTCCCGTATTGAGCTGATAAGGGACGCACTTTGTCCCGTAATACAGTGAGAATCAAAAGCAGTCTATAAGTTTTAATGTAATTAACGCTTTGTTTGAAAACATAATTCCCAGCCCCGCTCCTGCTTTGTGACCAATGAGCTGACAGCACACTTATGACAATTCGAGTATGACAATTCAGATTACCGCTCATCTCATTGGTTGAGGAAAGGTCGCTTGCGGAGAAAATACCGGAAGACAACAGATGACCACAACAAAAAGCATGGCCAACAGGGCAACAAACGCCGATACTGCGGTGCAAGTCTCAGACGACAGTACACTTGAAGCTGGGCAAACACTGTGCGATTTTCAAACTGCACGATTGGCTCGCATGGGTTATAAGTTCGTAGGTCACGATGCAGGGTCTCACACTATACCGCCCGATGCTCTGATGCGACCTGAGTGCTCACACTGTGCCTCCATTTTATGGAGGCACAGTGTTTTCTATTTTCTATTGTTTTCTATTAATTTATATAATTTTAAGTTCTTTTAAAGAAAGATTTACTTTTATTCTCAAAAGTTAAGCATGACAGGCTTCTGTTTAAGAAAGACCTGTTTTATTGTGTTAATGTTGTCATTTTGAGCTAAAAATAAATGGCTCAATTATTTTTGTTTCCCATGTGTTGATATCACAAAGAATATGCATCTACTTAAATCAAATTCAAGTCAAATGGTTAAAAAAATAATTTCACTCACAAAAAAAGAGCTAAAAAATTCACCACACTGGGAAGGGTGAAGACAACTGGGTCGCCCGGCCCTGGCCACAAGGTATCCCTTATTTATTTCTCAGGGAGTTGGCAACCCTAAACTTAATATTTAGGTGTACTTCACTAATTAAATTTTATTTAAAGTAGGTTCTACCACTTAAACAAAGTCAGTCTTGAAACAATCAAGAAAATAATGTAAAGTTATCACTGGGGATAAATGATAAATTCTAGCTGGTGAAAGCTAGGCTAAGTCTAGCTAAGGCTAAGGCTCAGCTAAGGCTAAATCACCCACTTTTCTCTTGTGTAATTAAAAACTTTAACCTATTGCTCAAAGAGCCTAGGTGGTCATACCACATAAATAAGGCATTAGTTAAATGAATTTATAATTAACATAAAGTTATAAAATAAAAATGTTTTCTTAACGCACTAAAAAACCAAATTTGTATTTAATGCATTTTTAGGCTCTTCATTTTGCTTCTTCTAAAGGCTTTGATGATTATTAAGAATTGCTCTATATTAGCTAGGTTAACTCCTTTCCTTGCTTTTCAAAGGTGCCACACAATTTCTATGATTATTAGACTCACAATCCCTCTATAACACTCTAACTCCTAACTCCTGTGACAGCAAACCTAACCCTAACAAGCATCACCAAACACCGGCTAAAGGCCAAATGATCCATCAGGCTGAAAACATCGGTCAGCACAAAGTCCAAAATCCATAGCAAACGCTGGGCTCAATTACTTTTTTGTATCAGCCATAGGCTAAGCAAAAGATTGCTAAGCTTAAGCAAAAGATTCAAATACCAAGAAGTAAATTAAACTACTTTCTAAATATCGCACAACTCAGGTTTCAGAAAATTATACATCATCACGAGCTATTTGCCATTTCAGAGTAAAAAGAGTGCCCAAGTTTGCTGGATTGTCATGTAATTAACAATGTGAAGGTTGTGAACCAGTCACATTAGAGGACAGTTAAAGTTCATTTATAAATATCTGTAATTCATTATAACCTTGCAGGAATACATGTAATGCGTCAGGAATCTCAGGCTGTCCTGCAAAACCAATAAAAACATTAAAAGGAAAAAAAAAACTCTGGTGTGATACTAAAGCTGCACAGACACCAAATGAAAAAAACAAAACATAATTTTAGCTGAGTTTGTCTGGAGGAACATTCATTTGATCAATCCTCAGCTTCTCTTTAGGTGAAAAACACGCATTGACTTTAGGATTCAGTGGCAGGGTGCTGATCAGAGCTGGAGCTTTTCTCCATCTAAGAGCTGAGGGTGTAAAGGGATTCCTGCCGCATCAGCACTATTTCTGCTGCTCCCTCGGTGCAGACACTGGAACACCCCCATGTCCCTGCCTTTGTGTTTATCTATTCACTTTAGGACTCTCAACACTCAAGACTGCACACTCAACACTTATAATGCTCACATAATGCACACTGATAATGTGTTTTACCTTCCACTGACTCACATCGACAGCAAATATCCATCACTGCGATGTACAGCAATGCTTCCGCCATGTTAACTTTGTTCTGGCTGATTGCAGAAGCAAATGACCATTAAACAGATTGCCATTAAATTCTACACAAGCATTTGTGATCCCTAAGAAATGAATCCTAACAACTGTAGTGATTCCCTGCCTTTTTCTCTTGCACAATTAGCCGGCAAAGGATTTCACTGATCCAGTAAATTATTACCACATCTTCTAAAGAGATTAGCACTTTAGACTCTACAAATATTCATGGTCCCCAGAGTAAGACTTTAATGACTTTAATGATCAGTGACTTTCCCTCCACAATGAGGTTGAAATTTGGAGTAATGTGCCAGCAGCTGCTGGATAGATCGACACAGTAATTGTCACAGACGTTAACTGCAAATCACTTCAGAGATCACCAGAAGTTTATAATACTCTATACTGTGACTGCAAAACAACTGACTGTATATTAATGATGGATGGATACTGTGGTTGATTACAACCCACAGTGAAGTCTCAAACTGTCTCGAGTTGTCTTGGTGTTTTGAAAATGGACAATCTGACTGAGAAACCTTTAATTACAACGTTGGCATCGCGAGATGTCAAATTGAATATTTCCTTTCAAATACAAGTTGAGATATGAGATGAAAACAAAAATAAACAAGGACAATATTACCCACCTTTGAAAAATGAAGCCCTCGTGGAAATGCCTTAGACCTCCATTCTATCTGAACACCACCAGACAGCACTACTTGTGGTTACAAAAAGACTTCCAGTCTTATAGAAATCTATGGGTATCACTTTGGGAATCACTGCACTAGCAACCTGTAAACTCTCAGTTATGCCTGCTGTTAATGATATCCCAGGTTATCCTTTTCCCCCCTCTAACTGGGAGCATAATTTATGAGGCTAGCACTGTGTTGTATTAAATTATACTTGAGGGTAGAGATGAAGGGAGCAAAGCTAATCACATTTCCATTAGCCTCAGCTTTGTTTTGTGCTAATACACAACATTAAGAAGTTGATTATGGTTAATACTGACTCCACTAAACAACAACATGTTATCACAGCTACTAGTATGACTAATGACAGTCTTAATATTATTAACAAGGTTTAAAAGAGGCCCACTGGGCAAGTCTTCAAGTGGACGGCTGATGCTGCGTGCGCTGTGATTTGGACCACCAAGACCCAGCTAACCCCTCACCCACATACACACCCAGACTAACACGCCCACGTCTAAGCACGCAAGCTCCGTGGATCCATTTCACCCCCACAGAGAACTCAACATAAGAGAGTCCACTGAGCTCTGCCTGTGTCAACATGTCAGTCAGCGTCAGGGGGGTGTTCAACAAGCAGCTGTAATCCCAGAAAACTACATTCAATATTCATGCATCTGTCAGCTTCTTTTTCAGCTGTAAAAATAAAAAGTACCACTCAAGATGGCAGCGTGTAATTGTGTCGGGCTGTTAGCAGCTCTTAATCAACTCTCATTTATTTTCTGCTCAGCCCACACAACAACCCGAGGGAAAAAGACACTTAATACAAACAAAACAAAACGGGTGAGGATAAGGAAAACGAGACAAACAAACAAACACCACTGAGCCGGCCTGTTTTATCCCAGTTCGAGCATTAAACTGTTGTGTTAATCCTGTTTTTCGTGATGTGTGTGCAAACATGCTGGATCGTTTCACTTGATCTCATTGTTTGCTTCCAAATGTTTGAAAGAGATACGTTTATCTAAATCAGCTCAGTCTAGCAAAACTCGATAAACTACAGCAGTAATGAGGACAGGGACACCCGAGGCTTCGTGCACGTAAGGAAACCTCATTAGTGGAAAATACTTTCTCTACAGCTGGTGAGATTTAGCTTTCCAGAAACTGGACAATAAGACAATATTGTCTTTAAATATAACAGTGGAGGCAAATACTACTGTATGCATAATACTTTTGGTTTCATCAATGCTGAAGATATTAATAAATTAAATGCGAATGAAACTCTGAAAATTAAGCCTTTTTTTTAACATAAAATGTGTTTAAATGAGAAAAACAAAACCCTGAAATTATACAGCAAACATCTTGGCACGTGTTAACTTCACTTAAACTTAGAAGTCCTCAAATCCTTTAAAATCTAAGCTTTGTTTCTTGAGGGAAAAGAAAAGCAAGTTTGAATTGACTCACTTGAGCCCAGGAATATCCAGTATATTGGAGAGGCCGGTCCAGTTTATGTCCACAAGCTGAAAAGGAAGTAAAAATGAGAGCGTGGCCATGGGTTAGACGGTAAGAATAGAAAGCGTTAATGACTTTAAATGGAGTCAGAACACTTTATGTTATTGTTTCCTGGCCCTCTATTATATTTGCGTCTTGCCAACAATCCTAACTCGATAACACCTGCAGAGACAGCAGCAAACTTACATGCAGTAAATCAAAAGTCGTGAGGATAGATTGACACTGTTTTGCTTCACCCACGACATTATGCTGCACTGGTTATTTAGGAGGCGTCACACTGCTACGTAAAGTATAAAACAAACATTTCCTGTCATATATTAAAGTTCATTGTTTTTACCTTTTAGTTTTCAATTTGGGGTCCACTGACCTGCAAGTGTTTAAATGCATGTACTGTGTGCACAATTAGTTTATGAGTCACAACGGGAGCACAGAAAGCAGTGATCCTTGAATGGGAATGAATACAAAAGCACCTGCTTCCTGAAAGATTTACTAAAGCAGCAGCATCTGTCTGGGGTCTTGTTAGTTTACCGAATAATGAGGCTGGAAACACTGCACCTTCTAGTTTTGTGCACTTCCATAGAAAATCTAGCAGTAGGTCAAATCTTGATGAGGTGCTGCAGTCAAAGTAAATCAAAGAGACCTGAGACGGAGGCATATCCTGCTCTGCTCAGTGGGCTTTGATCGGCTCTTGCCTCCAAGCTCAGGGACTTGTGTTTTTCTAATGAGCCTTTCCCACCCTACTTTTTTGTCCAACCTGCTCACACTGCAGCAGATGCACGGAGCTCTGCAGGGACGAGGAAAGCACTGCAGGGCTGTAAATGATGTAGGGGATGGAGTGAAAGGACACACCCATCCCTGCATATTGTATTCAAAGAGTCATCAAGAGACTGTTGATGTATATATGAATAACAAACCTGTTGATAAGGGCACTGTCTTTAATCTAAGTGAATCGATTAAATGCTAAAATAATATCTGCTTTGAAAAGCTTCTCAAGTGGGAGTATTTCCTGTTTTCCTCCCCTTCGTACATTATCATTTTAATGCCTTTGGGGTGTAAGACTATTGAAAAGTGAGAAAACTGCACAGAATAAGCCAGTTTTCTTGAGCTGCTCTTACACTCGCAGTGCAACCCTGAACTCTTCTAACACTACCCAGCAGAGCAGTATGCAAAAACACAGTAAATAGAAGCATTGTGGATTGGACAAAAAAATGATTTTAACCATGTGAGACAATGTAAGACAAGAGCAGGTAACCTCAACAGGTGTCATGTGTTCTGCATGCTCAAGCATCATCCAGCTATGGAAGAGGATTAGGGCCACCGAAAAAAAAAAAGTTGGTTCCTTTTTTTTTTTCTTCTTTTCCAGAATTCTGAGATTAAAATTCTGAGATTAATCTCCCAATTCTGAGATTAGGTCAGGTCTGAGAAAAAAGTCAGAATTCTGAGACTGAAGTCAGAATTCTGAGAAAAAAGTCATAAATCTTAGGAAAAAGTCAGGATTTTGACTTTAATCTCAGAATTCTGAGAAAAAAGTCAGAATTCTGCTTAAAAAAAAAAAAGTCAGAATTCTGCTTAAAAAAAAAAAAGTCAGAATTCTGGGGAAAAATAATACTGAGAAAAAAAGTCAGAATTCTGACTTGAATTTCAGAATTCTGAGAAAAAAGTCAGAAATCTTAGAAAAAATAATTCTGGAAAAAAAAGACTTGAATTTCAGAATATTGAGAAAAAAGTCAGAATTCTGGAAAGGAAGAAAAAAAAGACGTGCCCATTTTTTTTTTCCAGTGGCCCTAATCCTCTTCCATATCCAACTGGACCTCCTTGCTGAAACCAAATATATATTTTGAAAAGTCAATCTAAAGCAAACCCTCTCCTGATATATGCTACATGTGATAAAAGAGCAACTGCAGACAATGTCAAAACTCAATTTTACAGCTTTTTTTTAAATTTTTTTTTATCAGGGTTCAATGGATGGGCTGGATTTGGTTGCACGCCCCCTTTTCTCTATTTACAGGTGAAGCTGCTGCTCGGGTTTGGCATCACTGCTCGACCCTGAAGACGAGTTGTTCTGATGCAGCTATTCTTCACACACCTCTGGGATTAAGCAGACAGACAATGAGTATATCTGGGTGGATTGGTGGACTGGTGCCACAGTTCCTCACCTGTTCGCCACTGCCTCTATGCTTGCCTAGAATCTCCCTTGGAAACCTGTCTATTCGAACCGTTACTCCTCTCTGGGCTGGGACGTCACCAGCAACGCTCTGTTGCATTTATGTGCTGAGCCCTGCACAGGAAGGACTCTGGTGCTTTGCCTGTGCCACCTCGCAACCTCTGGAAAATCCCCTAAATCTGCTCATTAAGTCCAATTTAAATTTAATCATGACACTGGTTGTTTCCAGTCAGAAATTACTCAATAAAATGACTGTAACTGTCAGTCTGCCCCAGGGCAGCTGTGGCTACAACTGTAGCTTGCCTCCACCAGTGTGTGAACGTGAGAGTGAATGAATAGTGGAATTGTAAAGCACTTTGAGGGCCCCGAAAAGCACTATATAAATGCAATCCATTATTATTATTATTATTATTAATTATTAACTGTCAAAACAATCTATTTTTAATAAACTGATTTTGGACAGTCTAACCATTAACTCAGCAGTTTTCAAGCCAAAATCTCAAGTCACACCTACGTCTATATCTGCAGAAAAAAAGCCGCTCTGTCACCTGGAATTGTATTTTAATATGAAAATATTGTATTTTCAGAATGATGCCAATGATGACATTTTTAAACCCATTTTTCTTTCAGTTTATCTACATTGGAATAAAGTTGCCCCCATCATTTTATCAGATGCTTTAATACCATCCAACAAGTTTTTTTTGCCTCCTACGGTTCAGATTTTTTTACAGAAGTTTCTTCAAAGGGCCTTTTTAGCTTGCTTGACAGCATTTTTTGCATTAGCTAACTCCTCCAGAAGCTGAACAAATGTCAGCGGCTGAAGGTCGCCGACATCTCTGATCTAGCTGAGACAGGTAGTATTCTCAGTAGTTTTTCCCTTAGTAGATGCTTTTTTTTTAGTTGGTTTGGTGTGGTTTTTCTTCCTCATCAGTGACCAGATTTACCTCCTCACTTTCTGTCCGGGCTATCTAATGTGCACTAATACATATATTTAAATCCCAGCTGTTCTTTTCATGGAGTTAAATAATAACACTGTAGATATAAAATCCCACGGAGCAGCAGGATTTGGCTCAAGGCACATTTGAAAACCACTGCATAAACTGACTGAAAATCAGATCTGCCAGTACATTCAATCAATGTAACTTGTCTTTGTGTGTGTAGTGCAAACATCTCACACACATCTACTAATTAGTACTTACAAGAATTCATAGCAATAATAACAGTGTTTGCAATTCAGTCAGGTCCTTCACTGCTTCATCGTTTATTCATTACATAAAAGTATAAAACTGTCATCTGAGTTGGAGTAGATGAATATCTTCTGCCTCACTGCAGAATGTGGTGCATCTTTTTATTTAGGCTGTGCTGAGTTGCATCAGTGCAATCACACCGTCCAGACGTGGCCAAGACCTCTTATGGTCTGGAAATGTGTCTGTTATGTTTGGCACCCAGCCTCAGATCTTGTATAACACAAAGGGGAAAAAGAACATGACTTACTTGAAGTCCTGAGAACACAGTGTTAATATGTCAATGTCAATAATTTGCTTTATTAATTCATTTTCTTTTTCCTCCAGGAACCCAATGTGATGTTGCGGGTGTGGGAGCTGAAAGAAGACTAAAGCACCTAAATGCATGTGTGGATATATTTGCATGTGGGGAATTTACTGAGTGGAAGCTGCTTCTTCCTTCAGTCTCCAACAGTAATGTCTCCACCTTGAGCTTTAGTTCAATGCCTCGGGTAAAAAAAAAAATATGGCAAAGTAGGTCTAGCTTGATCTGCAGCTATTTAAAGCACCGCTACAGCTCCACTGGGCCCTCGCATTTGATATAAATCGGTCAAACGTTTTTAAGCTGTGCAGCAGTGGCTCTGCCTAGGGGTTGAACCAGGAGAATAATGGAGAGTCACCTGGAAAATAATGGATGCGTAAGCAACTGGAAATGTAAATGCAAATCATGTGAACACTGCTTGCACCGCAAGAGCACAAACAATGTCCGACAGTAAGGACAGTGAAGTAAAAGAGACTGAAATTACGCTGGAAATTAATGCTGCAAATAATAAGAAACACATCCTACTGTGATCCAGTCGTGACTTTGACTCAAATGACCCTTTTTAGCTTTAATTTATGTCCATTGTATCTGCATTAAAAGGCAAGGGATTAAGTAAAGCACAAAAACAAGATGCTTTATGAGGTGAAATGTTAGGCATAGTAAGAACGGTGAAATACTCAGAGGAGCATTTTAAATATGCAGGACAGCAGGATAATCATGCCAACCTTGGCCAATGTAGTATTATTATATGTAATAACACTAAGTTGTCATTCTCTCTGAATGTCAATTGAGAGTATAACCCTGAATTAGTAATGTGCTGAACTGTGATGCCATCTTGGCTTTGTGGTTAAACAGCCTCCACTCTATTCATGCTGCATTTCATCAAACTGCAGTGTCATTATAACCTCAGCTGCTCCTCTGTTTAGTTAGTCTGACTGATAAAGTTACTCAGTTAAACATTATTAGCTTATGCACTTACTGGCTTCTTCAGGAAGAACAAAGACAGAGCTCCGACGAGAGGTATATCACCCAGCAACGGCTCCATCACCACTCTCAACACACCGTGGATCTATGGAAACATAAGAGGAACAACACGTTGATATCCACAAACACAAACGGAAAGCTACAGGGAACTCACACCCTGCTGACCCCTGACATTCGTCAGCAGCAGTGCTGCTGGAGCTCGAGCGCATGACAGGTTGGAAACTCTATCCCTGCCTGACTTCACACCTGCCCTGTGTGATCCTCCACCTTCTTCAAAACATATTATGACAATTATGAGGATTATGGTTTTGAAAGTGCTTTAGATGTATCATGTGGAACACCACACAGCTGCTCTAATCCTGCAGAATGGGAACAAAGGAGGTTTGAATTCTAGCACCAGTATATTTGTTGTGGAGTTATATTCCTTTTTTGGAGGAATGACAGTCAGAAAATGTTGTCCGAATGGAAAGTGAATTACGCCAGTAAATCGGATACTAATGACTAAAGCCCCTGTGAAACTAAAAACCAATAGTACTCTTGTTTTTGTGTTTGCAGGCAGTTCTTTAGACTTTAATGTATTTCTCTATTTCCTCTCTCGCTCTGTTAACTGTGAGATTGAATCAGCTCCTTAGAACATAAAACTTATGGTAAAATCAAGTCCTGGAACGTCAAAGAGGACAAGTAGAAAAAGTTAAGCTTCATTTAGGTGCAATAACTTGTGCAAAGATCACACCAAAAGTAAGTGGTGGTGTATTTCACACTGAGCCGTGGCAGTTTCTTGCTGGACTCTGGAGTATTTATAGCAATATTGACAAAACTGTCCAAAGGAATAATAATGGCTTAAAGGCATGTGACCTAGGCTGGCAGGAGACTGGCAGGGGAAACAACAAAATTTGAACATTTAAAATAATGGACCTGCTAAAAAATACTGCAATTTAATACAACACATGATTTATTTGCAGGTTTAACTGGCTATTAGTGTAAAGCAGCAGTGGTTAAAAAGTTTAATCCAACCCATCTAAGCTTAATATGAAGCCAAATCCACCTTTGTGATTTTTGTAATATAATCCAGCTCAAATGTTGACTAATATGTTAGTGGATGATTATAGTCTACAGAGATACAGTATGTAGGTCTGCTTGAGTTTCATAACAGGGCCAGGGACAGACCTGACGGCACTGGGTCTCCAAGGAGGAGCACAGATTGCCTTTTTTCTGCCTGCTGCTGCTCGACAGCAATACACAAAGGGGAGAAAGGAGCAGCAAGAATAACAACAACACACAGACACAAAATACTTCAGAGTAATTGGGCTGTGTAGTCAAAGGCAATCTTCCAAAGCAACATAATTAAGTTTTAGCTGTTTTAGTTTGTTTAAAGCTCTGTTTAAGAGACACTTTTTAAAAATAAAGGTCCTCGTGACCAAATCAGAACAAACAGTAAAGCTTTTAAAAACACTATTTGTCTGTTCAAAGTCTGAGAATGTCTCCTTTGAATTATGATCCGTGTTTCTCTTGTTGGGATTTGTGATAGCTTCATTTTTTCCCACTGATCTTTCCTTGAGTTTGTTAGTATCTTCTCCACATATGTCTGGTATGCTGATTGTTACTTATTATGTCTTGTCTTTGTGGTAGCGCCTGGAGTTTTCTGGATTGCTTTATTTACGTTGTTTTGTTGCTGGACTTTGATAAGAAACAATCGGCTTCCATTATAAGTCATTTTCCTTTTTTCCAGCACAACACTAGTAGTTGTCAACATCAGAAACCCCTGATTGGTCTCGATATATATATATAATAACAGCAGGATTATTAATCCTGTAATAATAAAAACAAGAGCATGGACATTTACTTGGCTCGAGAGTGACAGCTGAATGACTGGAAACTGGGGAGAAACTGTGGTAATGGTGGTGACAAACAGTAAATTCACTGGCTTTTTTTCTTTTGGGAGATATACCTGTCATGGTTCTAGGTTTCTGTATGTTATTTGTATGAGTTTTAGTTTCTATTTGACTTTTATTATTTCTTTGTTGTGCATCTAGTGTCCCCAGTGTTTCCCTTTGTCCTCTCTGCCTTGTCTCTTTGTTTGGGTTATCTGTGTTAATCACAGAGACATGAAAACTTCCTGTTGTGATTTGATAGTATTCTGATTTCCCCTGTTTTCTTTCCTCCTGTCTTACCTGCTGTTTTTCTGATTGTCTTCACCTTCACCAGTCTAGTGAAACTGTACACTTAGACCTGACAAGATCACCTCTTACTTGAGTTAACAGCCTTTTTGTGCATTGCTTCCTGCTGTGTTTCTGTTTCCAGTGTGCAGTCCTTATTTCTTACCAAGGGAAAGTACCTCTATGAGGATATGAAACAAAACAAAAAAAGGGATTTCCTCACCTGGATGCTCTTGATGCCAGCTTTGCAGTAGTAGCGTTTGATGTCTACTTCGATCTCAGTGTTGCCAACAAAGCTGGGTGATAAAAAGCAAAAGTATGTCTCGTAAAAATCCTCTATCAGGGTTCCATCACTTTGATTCAGGCCTTTGAAGTTCCAATCCTTTCCAGGAAATGTGGATTTAATGCTGTTTGCTGTGTATGCTATTCCTACACTGGATTCTCGTGTGCACAAAGCAGAAGATATTAACTTGCACAGACCTAAGTGGAAAGAGGCTATTTACATACTGACCTCTGCATGAAAGCAATGTGAGTTTCTTTAGCTGCATTGAAAACAGATACTCCAGTTGTTCTCGTGTTGTATTTTTAACAAAAGAGCCAAGCAAGTAGTGTCTATAACTATAATGGCAGGAGAGAACGCTAGACGATAAACATTTTTAGACAGTGATCTGGTTGGCTCACCTGATCTGCAGGTCCATAATGATCTGTCGCTTATCCACGTTTTCCGTGTAAACCTTGACCCCGTTGATCCTCAGCGGCTGCAACATAACACAAGGAAGCATTACGGCCACTCCGTCACCCCTCCCAACCCCCAAGTGGTTAGCACAAGGTCGACCCCTCTGCAGACCCCCGCACGGAAACTATTTATGCAACGAGAGCATATGTCAGCGACATGCATGCACGTTCATGTTCTAGCCACGGCGCACCCTCATCAGCTGACCCACGGCACCTGCTGCTAGCAGCTTGTTTTGTCACATCGAGATGCTCACTTTGTCTCCCATGTCGAACTTGGTGAAGGAGAAGGTGCTGAGGTGGGCGTTGGACTCCTTCACCGCCGGCTCGATCACGTCGTGGAACAGTTTTTCCACAAACTGGCAGATGTAGGGCCACATCTGTTTCACAGTCTAAGGGGATACAGAAAGAGAGAAATCAAAGGGTTTTGGAACAAATCAAAGAAAAATATTCATTATATGATTATTGTAAAAGGATATAAAAATGTATTTGCTCCAGGACTTTAAACATCGAGGGGTACATCCTTTACAGTAAAATATTCAAAGTCTAGTTCTATTTGTCAAACCCATACACATCAAGCAAAAAGACTAACACATGAATGTTTTAAATCTCCAGCTCGCTCAGTTTAATGTATACTCAGGAGTGACTCCAAATCTACATCCGCATTTCACAGCGTTGCAGGAACGGGCCTGCCTGTTAAGTCAGATGTGCTGCAGTGTTGCAACAGTCAGCGAGAAGAGGAGAGTTAGCAGATGGCAACAGACATCCCATTTCCCACAGTTTTTACAAGGCATGAAAAACGAGGAGGGCTTCACTCAAGCAGGCAAATTCAAGAGACAGCTGCCCGATTCGTTACCTTGTTCAGCCACTCCACCCGCTCTACATCTGGAAAGTGGACCTGCAATGGAGAAAACAGAACAGATCATCTCCTGGTTGGTTTCAGAAAGCCTTTTAAAGAAAAGATGGAACATGCTGTTTGTAAATAGAGCATAGGCAGATAGGCAGATAGCAGGGTTGGCTAAAACTGTCATCCATCCATCCAACTTTTAACCATGTATGCAGTTTCAGGGTTGCTGTGGACCTGGAGCCAAACCCAGCAATCACAGGGTGAGAGGAACCTTCTTGTTTTGAGACGAAAGCGCATCCAAGTGTATAAAATGACCATAATCATAACTAACATGATGACTGTCCAAAGGCCTAATGACTGGCAGCTGAAGCTGTTTCCAGTTGTTGTCTGTTGATGTGTTTTTACAGTTTTTTTTCTTTTTTTTCCTATATTTAGTTTTTGGATTTAGGAAGTAAAAACCACGCTCAGTGTGTGATCTGTCATTTCTAAACCTATCTCATGTTAAAGCTGACAGTCTTCAACCCATGTGCATTATATAACGGCAGCACGTAATTAAAACTAATCAGCCAAACACTTTCGATTACGATTTGTTAACATTTTTGTGAACCCAAGTAGATGTCAGACTTCCTGACGTTGCCATCTTTAGAGCCATGCTGCTATTTCAGCACAGCTAAATTCACCAGTGTAAAAGATTACTGTCTAGATACTTATTTATTATTAATGTTTGCACCGAAGCTAAGAGTAAAGAGCACCCATCTCCTCCAGTACAAGCTGTTCAAAATATTTGTATCTAGTGGCAATTTAGTGGTTGTGGCTAATGTCATATTTAATTTTAAGACCTTTTAGGCTGTAATATCACATCAAATGAGAAGCAATAGCTTGACTATCAGAAATTTAAAATGTTGTTTTTGTGTTTTCAGGCAGTTTAATTTTGAAAAAATGCTTATAACTTCACTACTAAAAGTTTCCAAAGGAGGAGGAGGAGGATGGAGTAACGTGTTCCTATCCTGATGCATGAGATTTACTATGGTTCGATTTTTGCTTTGCAGTCACTGCTGTAGGTGAAGAAAAAAGATTGTTTTGCAATCCATGTTTTCTTCTCTACCTAAAGAATGTTTGCATCATATGCCCTTCCCTTTATCATCATGCAGCCATGCTACATTTCTAAACAGACATTTCTAACTAATCTTACACTCACGGATACGCAGCTGAAGATTGAAATAAATCAGACATGATAGTATTTCCATCCTTCTCTAGTCAAACCTTTTACATAATTTGTGGTCTGAGTCTGCTCTGCAGTTTAACTAATCTTACTGAATGACAAACGTAAATCACTGACTTAACAGGAGCTAAAGCAGAAACAAAGTCAATACGATGCATAATGGTGTTCAGCACTGCAGACACCAGCATAATAGAAAACAGATTAACCACATCCTCTTCATCATTTTAATTTAAGGTGTTTATACCCTAACTTCAACAGAAGCCCTAATCAAGGCTCTTGTGGTGATACATACTAATGGCCACTTCATTAGGTTTACCTTTGAAACTGTTTCTTAATGCAAATATCCAATCTAATCCAATCACATTGCAGCGATTTAATGCATTTAGGCATCCAGACTTGGTCAAGGGGACCAGCTGTCTGGGTAAAAATGCCTTGTTTATGTCACAGCTCAGAGGAGAATGGCCAGACTGCTTAGAGCTGATGGGAAGGGGCCGCTTGTTACAACCAACGTATGCAGATGAGCATCTCTGAATGCACAAGATACCGAACCTTGGAAGTAGGGCTGCCACGATTAGTCGACTAGTCACGATTACGTCGACTATCAAAATCGTCGACGACTGATTTAATAGTCGACATGTTGTTTGAAGCTTTGTAAGATCCCAAAAGAGAGGAATAAGGAATAAGTAGTAGGGTTTAAGAGTGTAGTAACGGACTGAAACAGAAGATGGCAGCACTGCATGTACAAGGATGCCAGCTGCCGTTAAACCCCAAAGAAGAAGAAGAAAAAGCTGTGTCCCAGAAGCGGCAGCTTATTATTATTTCTGGGTCACAAATTAAACGTTTAGCATATTTTCAGGCGAGAATGTAACTGTGTAAACCTCAAATATCTGCTCAGTTTATCAAGACACCACATATTTTCAAAAGCGTTCCGACGTTTTCGGACGTCTGTTACCCACTAGCTCGATAGCTACCTGGGAGCAAGGCTCACTAGAACCCGTGAGAACACCGGACTCCCGGCAAATCGTTTTCAAACCCACCGCTGTCTTTTGCTACTCATGAAACTAAGGACTGGGAGCTGCACAAATCAATGAACAAACATGGTGCCTCGCATTTGTCACACAATACTGGCTACACATCACACAAGTTATCTAAGTCACTTAGATAACTTAAAAATGTTATTGTTTGGCTTTTTTAGTATTTTATTTGTTCCTGAGTAATCGGTTTGGCTGAGATTAAAGTTATAGTTTTTACACAGCCGAATAAACGTCAAGCAGACAACTGATTATCAGAAGTGTGAGATGCTCGAGAATATACTCCGGTGTCCTGTTATATTTTAGATAGCAAGGAGTTTATTAAACCGAAACAATCTGCAAATTTCATTAAAATTTAATAAACTATCATCTTGTCTTTATTTTTAGTTAGCACATACCTTAAACACTTAAAGCTGTAAGCTAATGATAGTTATATAAGAGCAGATGCTGCTGGTGCAATAAGCTGTAGTTTTACGTCCAATGGATGCATGATCTGATTAGTCAACTAATGGCAAAAATAATCAGTGACTAGTCGACTCTCAAAATAATCGTTTGTGGCAGCCCTACTTGGAAGCAGCATAGGTGAAACGGCAGATTGACATTATGGATGTGCAGCAGCAGCTCAGTTTTCAAAGAGGGGTCAGTCATGCATTCATGAATATTCCTCTACTTCCTGTTTCCCTGGTGCTTCATTAAACTGCAGTTTGTGCCTGGTGTTGGGCTGTCTCTCTATATTTAGCTGTGTTTTGAGTTTTGTGCTTCTTAACATTTATAGTATGGATTGTGTTTTTTTTTATTGCCTTTTATGTTTCAAAATCCCATCTAGGAAAGTACACTACAAACTAGCTCAAGGCATAAATGCTGTGATGCGTGGCATGGTTCATATTACATATTTTCCCTATAAAGATGTAAAAAATAAAATAAAGATGAAGTGAGGCAACTGGCTGGACCTATGGTGAGACACGATGTGTGAAGAGACAGCACCATTTCTCATGGATTCAGCAAAAGTGCTTATCTGGCGTTTATGTCAGAGTGTGAGAAAAGCAGTGACATGAGCAGGGCGACAGAGAAGAAAATGTCACAGCTAACATAAAAGATTCCAGAAATAATATAATCCTGTGGAGGAGATGCTGGAAAAAACCTCATTAATGCCCCTGACACAGTGACCTCATTCACAAATGTAGGTGAGGTAATGATGAGTCACTTCACAACAAATGTTTCCTTTTAAGCGCTGAGCAAGAATCAGGGAAACATAACTTAATTATTTCGTGTTATGCCAAAGAGTCGCTGAGCCCTGCCTCTTAGAGACAAAATTAACAATTTGCCTGGGTTTTGAATAAAAGATGGTTATTCTCACTGTCTTCAGACTGCTTATCATGGCTCGCTGAGTCAGAGAGGTGCTCACATCCTGAAGGAAAACACGTCCTGCAGCTAATAACACAGGAAAATATTAACGTCTAAACACAATGTCAGCAGCAGAAATAGGGTTTAATTCAGCTGATATGGTATCAGGATTTCAGCCAAGTAATGCC